CCTGCTGGCTCGGGTCAGAGAAAGTGTGTTGCCAAGCAGGTTTTGGGAATCTTTCCCCTCTGGAGATGGTGCATTGTCCTCAAAAACTGTTTGAGGCTGCTAATGTCTTTGCCCCCCAAATCTGTAAAACAAGAACTGATCTTAGTCTTCCCAGTTTTCAAAAACAAATACCTGAAGCATGTTCTGCAGCTGTGATTTATACCTGGAGAAACAAGGGGGCTTGGTACAGGGGTAGTTTGGTGAAACACTGGTGCTGCAGCAGAGGTGGTGGTGGAGCAATCCCCTCACTAGTCCCTTGTGCCAACTTTGTACCTTCACGTTAGCTTTACTGTCTTACACAACTGCTTCAATTTAATGTAAAATAAAACGTTGAAAACCAACGTAATTTTTGTTTGAAGAGATAAGGAAAACTTGGTTTTGATTGCTATTTAGCTGACAATAAACTACAGCCTGTCTCTTCTGAACAAGTGGAAGTTTGCTTCCAGGCAGCAGGGCTGTAGGCCAGCGTTGTGTTGCTGCCTGGGCAGTGTTGCTCAGCTCCCAGTACAGTAACCAGCAAGTCATACAGGGGATGGTTCAGCCCAGCTGCATCCTGGCCATGCTGCTTTGGCATGAAAGTACCTGATTGAGTTCAGCTTTCCCCCTCTGCACAAATGGCTGGTCTGTGAAATTCCACAGAACAGTGAAAACTTCAGTGACAGATGCTGGAGCGTTGCCACAGCAACAGCTGCACGTTTCTCCGTCCTAACCACAGTCCCCCGTTACTGTAGGGATGTTTGAGGATGCCTGAACATGCGTACGAGTGGCACAGCAACAAGCTTATCAAGGGCAGAGTGGTCATCTGTTGAAAAAAGTGCAATATTGCACTTGATTTTTACTAAAAGCGGAGTAGCTTTAAGGTAGATAAAGCACTGAAAAAGATTGAAGGGCCACGCGTGAAGTCGTGCAGCGAGGCAGCAATGAATCTGCAGTTACACTTGACACTCTCTGGAGCTCAGTGATGTATCGGTTCCTTCGTGCCCACGTTGCCTGCTGTAGCAGTAAAACCAGGATTCACTGTCCATGCAAACGTAAAGAGCTCGGGAGAGAGGAGCCAGCAGTTTCTGTTGCAATACTGCCTGTCCCTGCCGTGACCAGGCCAGTTGCCACTGTTCTTCACCGAGCCAAGCCAGTAAGGCGTTCGTGTAATTAATGCTTCCTGTGTTTATTAAGTAGACAAAAGTGGGAAGTGTTATAAAAGACCAGAGATTATTTTCTGACCGATGGCTTTAAGACCCCGTTCTTGCCTCAATTATCAAAGTAACTTGCACTGTTTAAAAAGATTTTTCTTTTTTTCCCCCGCGGCTGCTGCTTTTTTTCACATACTGCAAGGCCTTCGCTAATACCCTGTTGACTCATAGGCTTACTGGTGGTAAAAAATGTGAAACATCCACACATCCTTTTGGGAATCTGAAGGATTCACAGGGCTCTGCAAGGCTTGGAAGCCTAGAGGAGCAAGTTCTTCTAGCATAAAGCTAATGCAGTAGAAGATGCAGAATACAATGTCCTCTACACCTCTGCTTTTTTCTGGCTATAACAGTTTACACGTTCAAACTAAGATTTGCAAAAAACTGTAAACCTTCACTGTCTTCCCTGGTGCTGGAGCTCTGTGCTGGACAGTTAAATGAGCCCTCAAGTTCCATGTGTAGTAAGGTCTAAGGATCCCACAGTGGGAGAGGGAGGAGATTATGAACATGGCAGGACTTTAAAGTTTGGGGATTTTCATGCTTAGCATGAACATCAAAGATGTGCTTGGTTAGCAAACCATTAGCAAACTTGGGAACAGTCCAGCCCTAGCTTTGAAAATATGGGTGGGTCAGATGTCCCAAAGGGTTTTCTGCTGTATGACCAGGTTTACCTTCATTGCTTTCAAGATGGAGCCAGAAGTTTAGTCTTCAATTAAATTTGGGATTCTGATCAAGTCCCTCTAATGACAGACTGGGGAGAATGGTGCTCTACCTGATTTTTGGAGAAGCAGCAGATAATCATTTTTGTCTGACTTCCAGCACGAAGATGGTGTTTTTTGTACAGAGCCAGCCTCCCCATCAGATATTCAAAGGACGAGAGGTAGCCTGGACGCTAAAGAACGAACTACGGAAACAACAGTCAGACTTCCTCATCTTCCGGGCGCTGGAAATTAACACAGTCAGTAAGTAGGAGTCACTGTGGTGCAAGCTGACACCTTTCCCCTTCTCAGATGCCTGCCAGAATGTTTGTGTGTGCCACAGACACCCGCGTGCACACACACGTACGTTCGCTCCGCTTAGAAAATGGGAAACAGAAAAATAAATCTGTTAACCACACATTGATCGGTTATATCAAAACCAGATTGGTACTTATGAAACTAAAATATGGTGTTAATGGAATACAGGCCATGAAGTGAGTGTCATACTGCAAACAATAAAACTTCAGATCCTGGTAGCTGTGAACATCCTCATTTCCTCTGCAGCACCTACATCAATCTGAAGGAAATGTTTCCCTTCTATAATTTATTTTTTTTACAACTTTACATAAGCACTGTTTTTCTTCCATGAGCTCCATTCTATGACGATCACTTGCTGATCGATTAGATATTTTAAACTAGATTTATGTAATTATTTTCATGACTTCCTGATCTTATGATTTCGTGGCTTTCGAAAGCCGCTGTTCAGTTCTGTTTCCTCCCTTGAAAGATCTGTTTGTTTCTTGTCTGTCTCACAGGCTGGGTTTGAATTGGAAAATTAAAACCTTATTGAAAAACTTTCACTGAACTAATGTCCAAATTCCATAACTTTTGTATCGAAATCATGATTTATTAGGCAACATTTTCTTAGCATGTTGTGTGTGACATTGTTAGTAAGTGGGACCTTTTAGTTTGGCTGGGAGTGCTTGCGTTCATGCTCCTTACTGCTTGTGGTTATGGCTGAGCTACGGATGAGCTGTAGAGTGACTGGGTTCAAGTCAGAGCCTACAGCACTTTGGCCACATTGAACTGATTTTTGCCTCACGTGCGAGTCACTTAGCTCACCTTGCTGGTTTTGGTCCCTAGCGTGTCAGCTGAACTGCTCCGAGCACGGCCGCTGCGACTCCTTCACCAAGCGTTGCGTCTGTGACCCTTTCTGGATGGAGAACTTCGTCAGGGTGCAGATGGGGGACGGCGAAAGCAACTGTGGTACGTGCAGCCTGCCTGGGATTGTTCATCTTTGGAAAGCAAGCAGTGCTTGAAGGCCAGGGTAGGCGAGGAGCAGGTACCTGCCTTCTCCAGGTATCTCTGACACGATGCTCGCACAGGGGTAGTCCCTGCTCCGGGCTCACCACATGTTCCCTTCTAGCTACTTGGTGGGGAAGGGGCTTCTCTGCAGACCCTCTCGGTGAACACTCACTACGAGCTGAGTCCGTTCTTAGTGTACACATCACACTGCTTTTCTGTCCTGCCCCTGCAGAGGCTTTCCTGGTGCAGGGAAGCAGGTTCTGTAAATCAACACACTTGGAAAAACGCCCTCGTGCAGCGAGTCCGCACGCTGGATCACAAGCCTCTGGCTTCCGTAGCTGAGTTAGTGGTGCTGTCGGTGGTGGATGCTGCCCTCTAATTCCACAGAGGGTTAGGCCTGCCTTTTTCTTTCCCAACAATAGTCGTCTAAAGTGCACACTGTCAACTGTATGAGGTGCCAAAACATCTTTATCTCCGGGCTGTTCTGCTTTCAGAGTGGAGTGTGCTGTACGTGATCATTGCATCTTTCGTCATTGTGGTTGCCTTTGGAATCTTATCCTGGATGGTGATCTGCTGTTGCAAGAGGTGGGACTGAGACCATAACCCCCACTGTATCAGTGCTTCAGAGCCAAGTAGCTGCATTAGGAGGTGAAAGATTCAAACCCGTCGTCCCAGCAGGTCATCTGCTCTGGGATATTGGTGTTTGTCACTCAGTGTTTTTGAAGTGAAACATTGAAGTCCTAGAACTCTGGGTTCGATTTGGATTAGTCTATAAACATGCAACCAAAGCAATGTTTTTAATGCTTTGCTTTGTGATATGAACATAATCTGAAATAAGCAAGTACTCTAGCTTTGAAGATCAGAGTTGTTTTTTCTTCCAGCTTTTTTAGAAATGGACTGCCTCTTAATTCCTCTTCTTCCCCTTTAGACGAAAAGGAAAATCCAAAAGAAAAAGCAAATACAAGATTTTGGATGCAACGGATCAAGAAAGCCTGGAGTTAAAACCAAATCCCAAAGCAGGTAAAACATGAGAGGGAAGAGCTCAGTGTTTCCAGAGTGCTGACTGAGAACACTCTTCCTCAGTGGACTTAAAATCACAGAGTGAAACAAACGTGATGTTAGACGCTGACAGATGAGTCTTGGAAGATCTAAGAGGTTGTTTCAGATCTGTGTACAAGGTATTTAGTCAAGTTATCTCACTCTTCGATTTAGAAATTGGGGCTGAAACTGGCCTGGTCCTGCTGTCTCCACTTTGCATCACAGAAGTAGTACGTGGATCTGTGTAAGCTGTGCAGACCAGCCTGATCCAGGAAGCCCAAAACTGGGTCTTGACTGTAACTTCTCTTGCTCTGAAGTTTTCCTCTGTGTTCTGGTAACTTGCTTCTTGCCAATACGCAATTCCTTGGCCATGCTGTACAGCAAAGCATGAATTCAGTTTCTCTAAACTTGATCAACTTTGGCTGGTAAGCAAAGGGACACCTGACAATACTCATGGACTGGAGAAAGCAGTGTTTATTTCTGCAGCCCTTACTCTCCCACCCCAAATGACTTGTTCATAAATCTCTTCATTCTTGCCCTTGTGAGCATCAGGCTCTGAAAGTTTTCACATTTTAGCTCATCCTCTAATTTTTCCTGGAAGCAGATGCTTATCTTAGGAGGGAGACCCATGATGTCCTCAGTGCTCTATGTGGCCACAGGCCCGTTGGCCCATTCCAGAAAGGCAGTCGTTTGTCTTCAGTGTTCTTAGCCAGCATTTTCCTGTCTGCATTGCTGTCCTCAAGAGTGCTTTGTGCAAAGATCATCGAGTTATTTCAGGCTGGAGCGTTTTGCTGTGATTGTATGTGGCACCTGAACTGAGCTGTGGTCACCTGCTGCAGGAAAGGAGGGAGAGATGGGAAAGCATGTGCAAATCCCAGCCCCACCAGATGCTGGGGAGCACTTCAGCTGCTGAAATACATGTTTCAGTTAAGAGTGTGCGTCCTGGTTTTGTTCGGGGGGGGGAGAGGAGGGGGGTTATGTTTTAACCATGCATGGAAAATTGTCCCCGATCCTTGTTTGCTAGTGGAAAGTAACTGCTTATCCTAGTATTATCCCGTTTAATGGTGTTCCAGCAAAGTGAACAGTGTCTAACGACAGCATTGGAGGGCATTGCAGCGACAGAGCTGATCAGACAATCCCTCTGAGAACCCAGCCATCCCAACTGCACAAACACGGGTACCCTTGAAGCAAAACCGGGTGGTTTTTCCTCCCTCAGCACCCAACTCTGCTTTCATCTGGCCATCTGTCACCTCGCACGGGAGAGCCCCGCTGTTAAATAAAGGGCTCGTTGTTCTGCCGTCTGTAGCAAATGTGCCTCAACCATTTGCTCTCTGGTAACTAAACTCATCGTGCTGCTTCTGAGGCTGGCTGCTGACTAAAGTCTTTTTCCCTGCTAGATATGTCCAGGGAGCATTCTGCTAACAGAGGAAATGTTGCATTTCTCCATTAAGGAAAAGCTAAATTTGAATATTTCCTCTGCTGACAATATCAGTAAATGTCTCTCTCCCGTCCTTGTGCATTAATCTAAATTCAGCCTGCTAATTTATCTCTTCCCTTGCAGGCAGGAGAAGCAGAGATGAGAGTAGGGAGGTAGTAAGAACGCAGCGATCCTCCCATGCACACCTGCCCATTGTCTTTACTACAGCCGTTAGCCCTTGGAGAGCTTTCTAGGCAATGCCCCGAGCAAGGTCAGGGAGACAAAGCTCCCACCTGTACCCACAGCCCCTTCTGGTAACACAATTTGCTTTTCTCCCCGTGTGTTGTGCTTTTGCACTGTGTCCAAGTGTCTGTGTGACCTCTGTCATACCAAAGTGTCTGAAACGGGATCGCCTTGGCTTCAGCGTTTGAGGGAATAAGTGACACCGAGAGGAAAGTCTGAGGGTGCCCCTTTGATGTGATAGGAGAAGGAGACTTCAAGGGAGAATGGAATAAGGGGAGGTGGTTGACCAGTATTAAAAGTATTTTTAACCTGAGGATCTCTCTTCTTCAGGTAGACAGAAAGCCCAGGTCCTCAACACTAGCCTGATGCACTCGGAGTCTGAACTGGACAGCGATGAAGCCATCTTCACGTGGCCTGACCGTGAGAAAGGGAAGCTGCTGCGGAGCCAGAACGGCTCCCTGCGCAATGGACAAGTGACGCTCAAAGCCAAGAACCAGAGGGAGGAAATCCTATAGCTCCCGGCGGGCGGCCTTTTGCTGGAGCTCAGCGGGAAAGGCCCCCCCGTCCCGATCCTACAAGGGCCTGTGGAGGCCGGGTGGATTAGGACAACGCTGCTAACTCATTTCACAGAAAATTACTTTGGTTTTGTGGGTTTCTTTTCATTCAGTTAAAACTGGTTGTACTTGAATTTGTACTTCAAGGGAAATCAAAGGGAGGAGAAGGCAACTGTGAACCCCGGGCGAAGCATCAGAAAAGACAGAGCTGGCATCTGAGAGGAGCAGGTCAGGACAGGACAGAACCACTTGGAGCGACTGTGAATGTGCCGGACCCTCCTCGGACTGCAGTGGAGGAGACGCCCCTGGACTTCCAGCTCACCTGCCTTGGGAGCTCCTCAGAGAGGGAAGGTTAAGGCTGTGCTTTGAGCCGTGCTCTGAGGTCCCTTCAGGCTCCAGTAGCCTACCACGGGCTACTCTCGCTGTCGAACAGCTTTCTTCTCTTTTACTCCCACCTCCTCCAATGGTTTAAGCACTGTTTTAATTTAGACTTGTCCTTTCACGTGCACTGGGCTGCTTTTGGAGTGTAGAAGGGGGGGAATCTGCACACTATGGTCACACTCCATCAGCTGGCAGGTAGGAGAGGGTTTGGTAGCTGTGCTAAATTATTATCAGGCTTTTCTCACTGGGAGTGGGACACCCCCCTTTGGTACCTGTGTCTAATGTCTGGCTTAATGCCAAAGCTGTGAGATGTTCAGTGGCCCCAGCACCTTCTGTTGGTCACCAAGCCGTCCGTGAGTCTGGACATTAACCATATCTCAGTTATCAAACGCTATATACTGTGGGGGGTTGTTTTTTTCTCCTTAAAATTTGCACAACCTGGGCAAACAGGGGTTGGTATCTTCAGTTCCCTGCAGCTGGCTGCTCCCTCTGCCTGGCAGCTTCAGTGGCCTCGTGTTCCGGCCGAAGAGCCCTGCGTGCTCCTGACGCAGAGCGAAGGACGCGCTCGGTGTCCGTCGGTCGGTGGAAAAGGGAACTCGTGGTACCCATGGCACCACGTGGTGAGGGCCAACGGCGAGTGGCCACGCTCCTCCTGCCCAGGCTCTGGAGCCAGGTGTGCCATGGTCCTTTCCCACACCTGCTCCTCTGTCTCACTGTGCTGCTTTCCTGAGCTGCACCCCTGTCCTCGGGCGGAAATCGGCCTCTTGCGGGCGTGAAGGATGCCACTGCTCCTCTGCGGATGGGTGGGCAGTTTGTTGCCTTTTCTTTGTGTTTAATTTAAAAACTGGAGACTTGTTTCATTGGCTTTTTTTGAGCTGTGAAAGCCAAAAGGCTTTAACCTCCTCGGTTGTATTTATTTTGCTGCACTACTGATTTGTGTTGAGCTAGATGAAGATTAAACACTATTGAACGCGAGGGGACGTTCCCTCGCTGAATGTAGTCATGGCTGCTGCTAAGTTTATTTTCCTGGGCAATCAGCTGTCTTCCTCGGGCACCAGCATGGAGCCTGCTGCTCTCCCGAGCGCCAAGGCTAATCCTCGTGCCCTCCCGACTCTACCAGGCGTGGGCTGCCTCTCCCCTGCGTCACGGCACAGGCCACCTTCCAGCTCGTCTGTCTTGCACGCAGCTGGTGCTCCGTGCCAGGCTTCCCCTTCCCCGGCGGCTCCGGCACGCGCTCTGCCAACGGTTCCTTCCCTCCAGCCGTCTGGGACCACACACGGGGAGGCCGACACGGGATGCCCCCCTCGGAGGGCACAGCCTGGCGCTGACTGCAGCACTGTCCGACGGCTGGGCGCTCAGCTTTTGGGTGATGCCACCCTCCAGTTGGACGTAAGGGGAACGAAAAGATGAAGGAACTATGGGAAAATGAGGGTTTGAAGCTGGAGCGGGTGGGCGGATGCGGTCCCGGGGCTGTGCCTGAAGGCGGTTCGTGCTGTTGGAGGAGAGCTGTTGGTTGCTGCAGGGATCCGTATCCCTCACGGGAGAGGCAGGGCGTGCTTTCCAGCGAGCCCGGCTGCTTCTTACGGAAGAGGGAATTAAAATCCGGGCAGCTGTTAGCCACCGGCACCGTCGTTTAGCCGAGATTATTTGCTTCATCCTCACGTTTCACCATGTAGCACACGTTTGGGTCGGGGTGCCAGCGCCCCCCCCCCCTGCCAAGGCCGGATTTCGGTGGTCTGTGGCGTTCCCCCCGCGCCGGCGGCTCGGCGAGGACGACTTCCTCGCTCCTTGGTCGTTTGTCATCGCCGAGTGCGGGTTGTGACGGAGCACGACGCAAGCTCCCGGTCCACTCCTGGCTCCCATTAGTATTCCCGGGCTGTGCAGCCCTTTCCCTCGCTCCGCGCATTAACCCTCGGTGCCGCTGAGCCCTCGCCCGGAACGGGGACACGCCGCAGCCCGGCCCCGGGGGAGCACAAGGGGACCCTCCCAGGCTGAAGGCAGCAACTTTTGGCCCAACATAGGATGCCCCTGGCCCAGGGGACGGGGAGGACTCTCCGCTTTAGCGCACCGTTACTGCGGAGCACTCTCGAGGTGTGTGCACGTAGAGCAAAGGCGTTGCTTGGAAATCCCTTCCCACCCCCTCCGCCTCCCCCGTGGCATCACTAAGACCATGGCTGGTTTGGTACCCGAGCACCGGGCGCGGGGCTGACCTTGCTGGCGAAGGTTTCTGCATTGCTATGCATTATGATTTCACAATTAGAGACACTGGCTACAAGTTACCCACGTGTGGAAGTTAAAAGCTGAGACATCTGTTCGATGAACCATCAGCTTCACTTGCTTTTGTTTTCTCCCACGTGTTCAAACATGGGTTAAGGCGTTTGAGGCAAATGCTGCATTCTAGTTTTAAAGTAGTTGTTCTTAAATCTTTTCTTCGTTCTCTGTGTGGCCGGGGCTGCCCAGCCTGTCTGAACGTTGGTTTAACAATGTTTGTTGATTGCAGTGTTGCTTGCATCAAGACTAAAAGTAATTTTTTTAAACAAAAATGTTTCTTGCAAATAAACAGGGAAGATGTTTTGCTGCTGCTCAGCTTGCTTCTTTCACCAGTTTCAGCTCTGGGACGGTTCCTGTTAAGGCCACTGTGCTCTTTGTGTGAGAACTGGAAGCTCTCCCTCCCGCCCTCCCCTCGCCCAGTGCCCGGCAGCGGGGTCTCAGCGGGGGGGGCTGCCTTTGCTCCGGCCACGGTGACGGGCAGTGGGGCTCCGCTGCCAAGAGCTTGTTTGACTCAGCCAAGTCCGCTCCTCACGCAGCGACCCTCTGCGTGCCCATCGCTGCCCTTGGCATGGGGAGCAGAGGCGGCCCAGCCCCGTGCCCTGGGCCCCCCACTGGTGGTTTGACCCCTGGTTTGTTGATCTGCCCTTTGCCTTAGCACAACCACAATCAGCTTCTGCTGCTTGAGGCTGATTTTCAGCCAAAACTCCCAGGGCTCTTGCCCCAGTCTCCTGCTGACCAGGTAACAAGTCCACCAACCTGCCCAGGGTGTCCCCTGGCTGCCAAGGCAGAGACCGACTGTTGTTTTCACGGGAAAGCGAAGTGGTAGCAGTGTCGGGGCTCAGGCTGTTCCCACACCTGGGATAACTGTTCCTCCTCATGGAGCAAAGGAACAGTTATTAATTAGTGGAGTCCTTGAAGGAGATGAAGGGGGTTGCCCAGCTGTCACTGGGGTGGTTGCTGTAGGGAACACGCTCAGGCACCGAGGCAGCCAGAAGAGACCTGATGGCACCAGAGGACATGGATTTAAGGGAGGAGACTCCTTCAGAGCTGCCCTTCTGCCCAAGGGTTGTGCTGGAGCCCTCGGAGTTCACGCTGCTCAATGTCACCTGAGGACACGAGAAGCTGAATCAGGCTCACCAGCCCACTGCCTCTGCCTGCAAGCGCAGCAGCAGCTGCCTCCGAAATAAAGCCCCCCCTCCCTGGGCATCAAACCGCTCCCGATGCTGTGGCACACCCCTGCCTGGCACTGGGGCAGGGGGACCCCCACTGTGTCCCCTGCAGGAACCTGCCTGGGACCAGCCCGTGCTCTTTGCTTTATGTCACCAGCTCTGCTATTCTCCTCCTGCTCCCTCGCTGTCCCTGCAGAAGCTCTCCCAAGGGCTGCCCTCTCCCTTTGCTGTCTGCTCAACACTTGCTGGCTCCGTACGGAGGTGTGGGAGGAAAC